AATATATATATATATATATATGGTGTCTGCAGAGTTACTTGCTGCCTACGTAGCCTCGTTGGGAGATCGTCCACTGGTTTCTTCTCCTTCTGGCGTCGTTGAGGAGCGTTTTGTGCACGTCCGCGGCCTCTGGTATAGCGTCCAGCGGGGGCCTCCTCGCGGCGAAGTGCTGCTGGGGCCCGCACCGTCAGACGCGCAGCTGCTGACACCTGAACGGCACTTGGGGCAAATAAGGTTCTGCCGCTGCGAGCCCCCAGAAAAAGCAAGCCCGGAAGGGCAGGACGAGGAGACAGTGAGGGGAAGCGCACTAAATTCGGTTAACATCTAATCTTTGCACCTAAATTTCAACCGTAAAATCGAAACGATCTTAAGAACTCTTCTTGCACACACTGCTTATTTCCAAACGTCGTCTGGTTTCTCGTGGGATTTGTTCGGGGTTTGTGGTGCTTGTTCTGGACGTGAAGCCACCTTCATTCTTACTTCATTTTTCTTCTAACAATTAAAGTTGCGCTCTCCAGAACTCCTAGTTCATCGGCCAATGAATAGGCGTAACACAAATTTTTCCACAGTGACATCGTAAATATATGTGCAATACATGTTTTCATGAATGCTACTTACTCTATAGTGCACTCGATTGAGAAGGGAAGATTACGACTCTAAAGGAAAGCCTTTACTTCCAAGAACACCAAATTATTTAAATCGCTGTTGATGTGATGTGCTTCAGGACGATAAGGCCTGGGAATTGCGACCTTCATTCGCTCGCTTTCACAAAGTTGAACAGTATGGAACAAATGTAAAGCCAAAGAAACCGCCAAAACACTGGAAATCGAGGAAATGAAAAGCATTTAGACTCAGAAAAGTTCATCAAAGCAATCTAAACCAAACTGCTGTTGGTGGCAACGCAGGCGGCATAGCAGTTCGTATTAGGACACCTCTTCAACGTTCACGAAACTTGTGATCCACGTGCCGAAAAGGTGTTTTCAAATAGAATTGCATTGGTCTCAGGGGAAGTGCCGTTAATTAAAGCTTCTTTAAAAGTTGCAAAACGCAGCGAGAAGCTATTTATGTTGGACACACGGAACTGCAGATTGAGTAAATGCTGTTCGTAACCCATGCAACCAGAAGTATGGGCCTTTGGTTCACATATCATTCGTCCCGAACAACTCTTCTTAAAACGTTTTTGTAGTTTTGTCGCAGTTGGCCGAAATATGACTCCTGAAGTAAGAATAATAAAACATGAATAGTGTGATGGTGTTTTGGCGTTCCTGGGTTCCCATCGTTTGCTAAGTGGCTACTGGCCAGTGCAATCCGTAAATTTTCTCCCGTAGGACAAATTGGCTAAGCAGCATCAGGCTAAACAGCTGCTGCCCAAACCGGAATGCAACGTGATACATCATAGGCATACACAGGGACACATACACAAGAACGCTAACCACCACCCACACCCACCGACACAAGCCCACCCACATACCATCCACAACCACACACACCACCCTTCCACACGCAAACGCAAACATACAAGCAAAAACACACAAAAGCGCCTACACATACGCGCTACCAATAGTACCCTAAACATGCGGAGGAAAAACTCCATTTACCAGTAGCAATGAGCTCTTTGAGATGTCCAAAAATCAGCCGATATTGTTAGTTAACTGCAGTATACCTCGTTTTGTTTCTACTTCTTTTCGTGTTTTGCTGGGATTCGAACGCGCGTTCCTCCGCTGCTGCAGTGCAGTTGTCTGGGGCTGTTGCTAGAGAGGGGCTGATGCTGGCCGGTTTACCTTTCCGTCTACACGCGACTGATTCAAATTAATGACCTAATTATTTTATTTTGAATTTAACAACAACTTCAACAACACGATAACTCGCTCTAAACCCGCCTCTTGGTGGTGGGCCTGCCCTGTCGCAGAGGTCTCGCTCGGGCCGTGCCCTAGTCTCCCATCGACTCCTTCGTTGCTGCATTTCATGAAGCGACCGTACATAGTCCTAACTTCATTAAATGGTGTTAATCGGGAATCTTTTGGGACGCACGGAAGCACCCATAAACCAACCAACCCTTATCGGACGTTGTACCAGTAGCGAAAAGCCGGCTGGTCTATGGGGCCCCTCACGAGGGCCCCTAAGAGAGCTCGGTTATCTCTGATAAGCTGGGTAACTGGTTGAGATGTGAATATATATATCTTCACAGACTGGGAAAGACAATGGCTCAGTGAGTGTAGCCAACAACAGCCCCGGCTGTATATCCGCCCGTGGTCCTTGGCCGCTGCAATATGGAGGCGACTCTTAGGGCCCTGGCCCTGGAGGAGTTGGCACTGCACCCTTTTCCTGGTATTTCGTTTGAACGCCTTTGTGCAGTTCTGCAGCAGGAAAATGACTGGGCCTTAGACCCGTTCTCGAGGGTAAGTCCGCTGCTTGACCTTCTCGCTGCTCTTGGTTCTTCCTCTCGTTGAGTCAAATCGAACGCTTGCGTGCAACAGTGGTCGTCCAGGAGCCTGGGGAGGCCGTTAAGTTCGGTGTGGATAATACGTCGGGGAGAATGCTTGTGATAATACTGTTATGCATGTATGCTTCAGTTGTAAATCTCCGGAGTATTTATGGCTGCTACTCTCAGGCTATGCTTTGGAGGTCGCTGTACCGATGCCCCGACGTTTACTTCACGGCAACATCCTCCTGCAGCCACCAGAAGCATCACCACCCCCTTGCTGCTGCGCCAGCAAACACCGATGCAGCAACAACACCAACAAAACGCAGCAAAATCCAGTCGCTCTCCTGGCGAGACCCTCTAGTCCCGTCGGACTTGCTGATGGCGCCGTCGACCCGCTCCTTTACCCTCGGAGCTGCAGCAGGCGATGCAAAGAGAGCGGGGCCACCTCCCTCTATTTCAGAAGCAGCAGCAATAGACGCGTGGAAAGCACAGCAGCGGCAATGGCTGCTGGCGACTTCTCCAGGCCTACCGTTGCTGCTGCTGACAGGAGTTGATGCCGCCGCAGATAAGACGGACTTGGACAGAAGGGCGGCAGAAGTCCCATTCCAAATTCTTCGAAACATCGCAAGCCACAAAGAAAACGGTAGGCCACCCAAACAACTGACTGCCAAGATAGCTACCGAGATAGCTAACTACCATACAGATAGCCAAGTCATCAGCTAGCATCCGGTTGATTGGTCGTCTACCTATATAGGGGGCTGCTTCGGGAGATAGGCAGCTGTATAGCCCGTATATATGCATGTATATGCACGTTTGTAGAGATGCTGCTGCTTCTTGCTCGAGTTTAGCTGGCTCTGTGGTTCTTGTTATGCTCATCACTTCTCTTGTATTTCTTCCTTCTGCTTAGGTCAATGGCAGTACTGTCTGGCGCAAGAGCTACAGCTCGATCCCAAGAGTGTCTTTCACCACTTAAAGCCTCTTTATAGGGACGAATTGATTTGCCACATGCAGCTGGCTATACCCCCCACCCACAAGTTGGGCAGGGGGGAGGGGCACAGCCCAACAAAAGGGGGACCCCCTGACCAGCAGGGCCGGGAGGCCTCGAGTTTAGAGAACATCGGTGGGCACGAGGGTCCCACGGGGGCCCCTCCTCCTCGTGGCACTGTTCGAACAAACCTCACAGTGTCGGCGCTGTTGTGGAGCAGTGCCTTCTTCTCCCCTCTGAGACTACCGGCGCACTTGAGGGGATTAGTGGCCCTTCACCACTTGCTGCCGCTGCAACAGCAGGCCCTCCGTCTGCTGCACAACTCTCCCAACAACATCTTGCTGGAAGAGGAAGTCCGCCAGTTCTGCATATCCAAACTCCTCACATCTGAAGAGGCAAGGCCATCACTGGCCATACACCACAAGCCCTACGCAGACACCCTGAACAATGCACATACACCGCAAGCCCTGCACATGCACCGACAACCATTCCCGTCCCTAGAGCCGTCCCCAAACCTGTTTACATCCCAACCCTGCATATACACCTGAGGCGCTATTCCGATAGTCCAGAGGCCCCCAGCTGTTCCGTGGATGCCTGCCATGCGTGTGGGGTATTAGTGCTTCCTTTTTCGACTGCTGGTTGTACCATTTCTGCTTGTGCTGCTGTTTTTCAGGCCCCTTACCTGCGTTTCAGTGATAAACAGCTGCGGCGGTTGTTTTACAGGCTGCGGGAGTCGCTAGAGCGCAGTGGGCAAGTGCAACGCGTAAGGGCATTTTGTCGGCAGACGGCTCGCTTTGAGCCCTGTCTCATTCTGTCTGCTGGCGCAGCCCAGCAGCATTCTGCTGCTGCAGCGCCGCAGCACAGTGGCCAGGGCCAAACGGGTGGAGGCAGTCTAATGTAGGCCTTCACACTCTATGTTTCATCGTAGGAATTAGGGCGAAGGGCTTGAGTTTTAGGGTTTCGGGTTGCTCCATTCCGTGTGGAGGGAGGCGGACAGCTGCATTGGTATGCCTTGTAATCTCTTTTGTTCGGCCATTTCAAAGCACGAGCGTAGCTGTGAAGGGTTTTATCTCAGGCGCCCCCCGCAGGTGGTATGCTTCTGTCTCTTTGGGTGTCGCAGTGCCCAAGTGAAGGTGGAAGAGGGGACGGTGGAAACAGCCGCAAGAGCGGCGGATCTCCGCAGAGATGCTTCGGCCCACGGGGCGACTGCAGCAGATGAAGGCGAGGCAGAAGAGAGCCCTTCAGTTCTGTACGCTTCGGACGTCGAACAACCATGCCATACACTTTATCGCATGTGCCATATCTGCTCCCGTGCGGGGGAATGGGCCCCAACACCAGGAGTAGAGACTGCAGGGATCCCATTAGATGCACTGTTGTCTTCTCCGCTCGGCTGCTCTGGGCGGCGTTGGGGCGAGGGGGTTGCTGCACCCGTTGCTGTTGCCGCTGCCACTGCTTTAACAGAGAGGAGACCTTTGGTCTGTGTTGTGGCTGCAGGGTGGACTTGGAGGGGACATCTCTGGCGTCGTTAGCTTCGCTACTTTTGATAGCCGCTGGTTCAGACGGCCTCACCACCGTGGGCCTCTCACGTCTGCTGGGCCTGGACATAAAGCGGAGCGGCAAGGCCCTGGCGGTGCGTCATTCATGACTTGGGTGCTTCAGGGGTTCAGCGATGCCATACAGGGCACTAGCAGGCCTCTGCAAAGCAAACTATGTGCATACGTTGGTCGAATGGGCCCATGCTAGGCTGCAATACTGGAGATGCTACCCAGAGTGCCCGCATTTATTTCCAGAAGTCTCTGGGTCAATTATGAGGCGAAATGCGTGGCTTTTTTTGAAGCTTGTTGCGCTCGGTTGTGGGCTGTCTCAAGGGGAGGGCATGTGCATGCGCGCTCCGATGGGGTTGCTGTCTGTTGTCGCAGGAGTTTTCGAGGCGGAATTTGGTGTCACGCGTGGCTGAGAGGCGCGGAAAGTGCTTTCTGTACAGATACATCAGCAAGGGGCTGCCCTGTTTGCAGGCACTGCTGGCAGAGGCCCCATCGGAGGACTTTTCAGGGAGCACCGCTGAGACGTGGGGCGCCTGGTAGCAGACAGAGACACCCCAAGCGGACTCTTGCTTTCCTGAGCAGCTGAGCAGAAGAAAGAGGTCAGGGCTTGGGGGTTTATAGTTTAGGACCTGTCTGGGTGCTGTGTCTGTCAGGGAAGGCCCTGCTGCCCACGCAGGCCCTTCGGCTGCTGCAGTTGTGGTGCACATGCGGGGAGAAGCGGCTGCCCGAACCGCTAAGGCCTTCGATCCTTCTTCAGGGCCCCAAGCTGCGTCTGGGGCTGCTCCTGAGACCGAGGCGCAGCTTGAAGCACCAGCTGGTGGTGCTTCTGCTTCTCCTGAAAAAACTCCACAGAAAGGGACGGAGGGGTTGCTGTATGAGTCGTCCGGGCGACAGCAGCGGGGAAGGCTACAGAGAACCGCTCGCAGTGCCTTTGCTCGGGTTGGTAAGGTTGACAGTGAGGCACAGACGCCTCTGAAGAGGCCCCATAGTGCTCAGGGGACCCCTGCCGGAGCTTCCAAGAAACGGGCTACCTGCCGTCGCGGCAAAACGGCCAGGGAGGATGCCGAAAAAGAGGTGCTTGTTGCACAAGAAACAGATGCTGCTGCAGGAGCAGCTGCTACGGTTGCTGCGCCGCCACCAGTTGCGACGCCCTCGGCAGCAGCAGCAAATGGTGCGGTTGCTGCGGCGGCTGCTGCGGCGGCGGCTGGTGCTCCAGCAGCATCCACCGCGAGCCCTGCAGTGAGTCTTGGCCCTGATGGAGCATCTACCACTGAGGCTGAAGCAGCTGAGTTGGCGGTGGCAGTATCTGCCCCGGCTGCACTGCCAGGCGCTATACGTCGGTGTCTATTCGATGGCGGTACTGGTTCTGGTAGTCAGGCTGTTGTCTCGGGGGCCGTTGAGGGTCTGCTTAAGGAGATGACCCGCCGCGCCGCGCGGGCGAAGCTGCCTCCTCGAGCGCAGCGGCTGCTGGAGACTCCTCAGTTTGTCGCTCGTCTGACGCTGTTTCAACGGGCTGTTGAGAGCGCCGGTTGCTGCACAATTCCCTCCATCAGTAAAGCCATCGCTGATGCAGAGCAGACACCCAATGGGCCCGACAGGTGAGCCTCTTGTGTTGGTCCTCGGCCGAAGCTTCACCCTTCTTCTTGCCATCACAGCCCTTCAAACGCATTAAAGCCTTAAAGCTATTGTCTATGTCTTAACCCTCAAGGAGAGGAGGTGTCGGGGGCCCGAAAGCTGCGGCTCAAATGGGAAACTGCGAACCCTGAGGCCTGCGCTTGGAATCTACAGACACCTAACCTACGCAATATATGCACGCCTGCTGCGTGCCTTCACCTGGCCCCCGAAGCTGCAGGCTACGGACGAAGGGGAGGGTGGATGGCTTGCTTTTTTGCTGCTGTGTCTGTCGTGCATCTAATTCTGCCTGGACACACTGCGTTGGGGCGAGGGTTTGTGGCGGTTGCCAGTGTGTGTGTTGCTGCATGGGCGTTGTGGTATCGCTGATCTGGCGCTGGTCATGTCTGGGTCTCTGAGCTTGGGTGGTTTTGGATTGGAGCCTCTGTGGATATTCAGGAAAACTGTTCACCGCATGGCTGAAGTAGCGATGCAGTTGGAGCCACGCATCCGCCGTGGCCGGGTTACCACCTCAAAAAACGCACAGGAAAGGCTAGAAGGCCCCGCGGGGACATCCCCAGCACCTGCAGACATCACGTTCTTCTATTGGGCGGAGTCACTCGACGAAGAGACCGCGGAGCAGCGGGTTGCTGCCCTAGTAAGGGCCCCCTCGCCTGCATCACACGTTAGGAGTTGCCGTACAACAGTTTGTGTTTGTTGTGTTGCTGCGATTAGTGCTGGTGCTGCTCTACACTTTGGGCTGATGGTGTGCCTACTACTGCCTTCAGATTACACAGAGGCGGGCCCACGGCTGTCGCGAGGCCATTCGGCGTAACCAGCTGCTCCTTGAAGGCAAGCTGAAGGAGGCGGTGAGCTGGGGCAGCACAGGCGCCTCTGACTAGCTGGTTCTCTAGGTAGCTAGCTAGCTGCTCGCTGCTTTATTCGCACAATTTCCAACTTGTTGCGGTTACGCAGCTGGTTCTGTGGCTGCGTCAGGGCGAAGATCTTCGGCTAGCTAGCTCGTCCTTGGGTTCCCTTGGGGCCCTGCAACCGCCGCACACCCTTGCGGAGTCAAGACGCAACTCCATCAGCCCCCAGGCGCCGGCAGTTTCAGGAGACGTCCCTCAGGTTGTCCATTCCAGCGTGCTTCCGGATGACACCCCCATGCAATCGCTCGTAGGCAAGCAGCTCAAAGGTTTGGAGAGGGAGATATCGCGTTTATCTCAACTCGAGAGCCGCACCGCCTGCAGCCGCGTGACGCAGCCGGGGCCGCCTGCTACAGCGGCATCTTTGCTGATGGTAGACAAGGTACGAACATACCGGGAGGGAGTCTCAGGGACTACACAGAAGGGGATGTGAGGCAATTCTCCAGACGGCGTATAGAGGAACTGCGGGGGGCACGAACGCTGGTTTTGTCGGACTAGAGGTTTCGTTTTATTCATAGATTAACAGAGGTTGTCTGTGCCGTTTGTTTTGTCTCCTTCTTGCTGCTGGTTTCGCTGCAGACGCTTCCGCGTTCTACCTTTCAAGACAAATTTGTCTTTAGTCAGAAGCACTTGGCGTTCTACGGCTTCATATTCCCAGTGATGATCCGCGCAAAGTGCTTCCACCAATTTCTTCTCGTCCTCTCACGGCAGCTCATGGGGCATCCTGAGAGCTCCTTGTCCAGCGTAGCGGGTGAGGCGAGCTGTCTACTGCTGCCGGGACAGGTTGGCCAACAGGTTCCGCCCCACCTGCTGCTGCTTCCCCTGCTACAGCAAGTTCTGCTGCATTGCCTATAGTCTGTCTCTGGCATGATAAGGACACCGTGGTGTCTAACTGCCTGGGCAGAAGAGGCAGTGAAACCTTCCAGAACGTGGGGGGCTGGAGTTTGCGCTTCTGCATGCAGAGGCGCCCCTGTTGACTGTCTCCACCATGGTCCGCCGCATGCCGTTGGAGACGTTTCTGCGTCTGGTGAGGCGGGCATTCTAAACGAGCTACCGGGAGCTTCCTGGATACACAAACAAGCCGCAGAGGGTCCCCGACCTCCGCTGGGAATCGAACCCGGGAACCGCCGTTTGCATGTTTCTCTATTCTCTGCTGTACGCTTTCCTATCTGTGTTACAGATAGGGTGCGGTTATGCGCTGCCCCTGCTAGACGAGCACTTGGCGAAAGAGGCTGCGTCACGCCACCCGATGCAGATGCTGCCGGGGCCTCTCTTTCGGTTGCTGGTCTTCTCCAGCCGTCAGCTACAGGCCTACAGACAGCTGCATCCAAAGGCGCAGCTCCCGCTCTTGGGGCTGGGCAAAAAGAACGCGGGAACCGCCGTCAGGAAGCTCTTGTCGCTGCTGGGTAGGCCACATCTCAACTTTGGCTCTGCGTCTTCTCCCCCCCTCTCTCTTCTCGAGCTATGTTTAGGGGTCATTGGCAGTATCTGCTGCTGCACCGCGACGCCTGACGCGACGCCTGCTGCTACAATTGGGCGGTTACAGCGCTCTTATTTCTATCAACTGTAGCACCTGAAACTGCTACTTGTGGTACCGCCCGCCAGCCCCACACACTTGCATCATATACCCTGTGACCGGTGAATCCGCGTTTTCCATTTCTGCAGGCCGCATGGGGATCATCTGCCAGGTCCAAGCTGTCCCCAGCCCGCCCTCCGAGGGGTCCACTCCGAAGGGGCCCCTCGTCGCGCATGCATGGCGCCTTAACGAGATCATAAGGCTGCCAGCGTTCTCAAGGGTAGGTTCTCTCCTGTCTCTGTCTTTGTCACAGCCGGCACCAGAAGAGGCCAGCAAGTGCCTGCACGCCGGGTCAACCAGCAGCGTCAGCAACTGAGCGTAGCCGTAACAGCTGCACGTTTTAATATAGGCACGACGAAACTGTGTTCACAGAAGCCATAAATCTCAGGACCATGCGGCCTCTGCTTCGTAAACACTTGGATTTTGTTGCTGTTGGTGTTGCACAGACGGTGTCGAAGGAAGGGGAAGTACAAACCCCTCTGCCGGCTAGAGAATTCGACGGTCTTTCGCACGAGGGGGTGGAGGCCTACTGGCAGCAGCTGCAGCTACAGGTATCACAGTGGGTGCAGGAAGAGCGGCAGATGACTTGGGCTATGGGCAGCGACCCCCAGCCCTCGCATTTCTTTTCCCCCCATTCGGAAGACAGCGACGGCGCACAGCAGTCCGAAAGGGAAGGTTCGGCGGGTCCCAGAAACCCTGAAGAGGCCGGTGCTTCCAGCCGCTGGAGGGTATGTCTTTGGCTCCTCCCCCCAGTGTTCTTTAGAAGACTCTGGTCCGCCCGTGTGTTGACCCACGATGAGTCTCAACTGTGTACTGGCGTACCTGCGTATAGGCCTTCTCGGAGAGGAAGGCAAAGAAGGGCCCGTTGAGGCAAAGTCGCCCAACAACTACCCCCTGGTGTTTGCCAAGGTCTTGCCTACACCATGAACCATATGCCGTCTGTTGTCTGTGCTTGTGCGCGGGATACAGGTGCCGTTGCCCGAGGCATTCGCCGTCCGTGAGGCATTTAACTCCAAGAACTGGAAAGGCCAGGTGGCCTTCACTGCAGCTGCAAGGGTACGCCAAGAAGAGCGGGGGGCTTGGAGAATCAGCCAGTTGTTGTTTTGGGTTTTGGTGCTGGGCTTCTCTGTTGTTGGAAGGCGGATACGCAGAGGGCTAGGCCCTAGCAGCTGCTTCTTATGGAGACGATTTCTGCCAAACGCCTTTTCAACCTGGTGCATTCATGTGGTGTTACCTGTATTGCATCTGCTGCCGCTGCGTTTGTCACTCGTTCCTCTGGTCTCAGTTCTGTAGCGTTTGCTGCTTTTGTGCTTGTTTCTGCTTTTGCCGCAGGCTGCCCTGGATGCGTTTGCTGCGGAGACGCTAGAGAAGCTGAGGGACGCTGGAGGGGCGGAGTTGGAGGCTCTTGTCTTGAATGCGTCCTCTCCACAAATTGTCGAACTTTCGGCACGTATTGGATACCCTGCAGATGTAGGTTGGGGGCCCTCATGGCTTGTAGCGGCTCTACCCAACCTCATGGGGGCCTTGCCGGGCTTAATAGGAGCCCTACGGCGCCGCCTAACTTGGCCTAGTGGTTGTTGCAGCCGATAGCTTTCGTCAGAGTTAGAGGTACATTTCCGTTGTACTCATTGAGGCATACAAATAGGGCTGCTCTTGGCAATGTCGTCTGCGGGGTTCAGGCGGTGTTGCGCTACTTGATTCGAGTTTTTGAAATCAAGGGTGGCTCACGCAGCAACCAAGCACTGTTTATTGGCGGTAGTATTTGGGACAGTGAGGAGCGGCAGCAAGCTGAAGATGGGGACACCCCCCTTACACCTGTGCCTGTGCCTAACCAGCTACCCACCGACGCAGACGCCGTCACTAGCTCTTCTGTCCCCGGCCAGTCCCGCAGCAATTCGCCGCGTCCTCATTGGCTCGCGGGGACCCCAACAAAGGCGGACACAGTGGAGAGGGATAGAGGCCCTGGCCTGCTGGTACACCGCACTCGAGATGTGCGGTTTCAGTGCCATCGCTGTGGCCATTTCTACTCCTGGGAAAAGTCGCTACGGCTGCACTATGAACGGGCCCACCGTGAGCCCCTGCCGGACAACGAGCTCTTGTACATCTTGCCTTGGGAGCGAAAACGGTGAGTGAGGAGTCCCTCCTGTTCCGCCTGGTGTACCCAGGTGATGCTACTAGTTCCCTGTTTTCCAGTGCTTTTGAAGTTTTTCTCAGGGGCGCAAGACTCCCCATGTGTTCAATATTTTTACGCGAACGTACGTAGCTCTCTAAACTCTCTCCCATTGATTCCGTCGCGCGCGAGGACCTCGACCGAAGGGGTGTGCGGGTGGTTGTCTGATGTACAATCCTCATGGGGACTGTGTTGAGGAATGTTGCCTGATTGTGCCCCAGGCGGCTCGAGGACCAACAGCAAAGGGCCGAGCTCAGCAAATTCAGGCGGAGACGTCGCGCAATGGCGGTTCCTGCTGTTCGCGGTAAGGCGTGCATCCAGTTTGGGTTAACACACCGCAGTAACGCCCGCGGGAGACCTTCTGCTCCAGCCACACAAACTTCGGCGTGTGTTTAACTGCGGCTTCAAAACCATATCTACCTGTGTAGTAGCAAACCCACAGGGGCCTTTATTCACATAACGGCCTTCGTATTTTGCTATAGAGTTCACAGGTGTATGAATGACCGGAACACCCCGTCCTTAGCTCCTGAAGTCTGTGCAGCCTCGACTGCCTGCGTGTATTTGTCTATTTACTGCGGCATAAGCAGACATGCGTCTGCAACAACAGTCAAATCTATACACAACCACTCTCTATAGATTTGCCTGTTGCTGCTGTGTACGCCATTGACACAACGATGGCGCATGAACGCGCGCAGCAAGCCTTCTAGAGGCTGTGGCGTTTGCTGAATAGCGGCACCGCATTTTCTGGATCTGATGCAGGGTCCCCTACGCAGTCGCAGCAGCAGGTGATACTCAGTTCACCTACTGACGAAGCCTTGAAGGCCCGGGAGAGCTTTGCAGGGCGCCTGCTGGTCCGAGGGGCTGTAAGGGCCGTGGATATCCCAGCCAGCAGCTTCTTGATGCGGGTACGTGTAATTTTGCAATATTGTGAGTCGTATGCCATGTGCATATGTATGAACTGTGTACGTCGTTGCTATTGTGCAATACAGCGCTTCTGTATCATATAACCACAACAGCGAAAGGTTCACAGGCTCCAGCGTACAGAAACTGTGCTCCGGTTGTTGCAGCAGTGCAGCCGCAGCGCAGCAGACATTAACGCCGTATTCCTGTGTGCCATTGCACTTTCTGAGGGTTGTGGGCGTTGGTGCTATCGTTGGGATGCCTTCATGAATTATCAAGGAGGGACAGAATTTTGTACCCGGAGCTCCATATGCTGTGTTGTGGCCCCTGTTGCCAGGCAACAGGAGACGAGCAGGCAGTACTCTCTTCAATGGGTCGCGGTAAGTGGCATATTGATACGTTTCTCGGTCTTGAACATCGTTCGCTGTTTTTCATCTACGGTGCTTTGCAAGGCATTTCTGAGGGACGTTGGTTGCTGAGTCCGAGACGACTGTGAGAATGCAAGCCCTCGGGAAGCTGCTCTCCATACCTGAGGAAGCTGTTTTGGGGCTCTTGTGCCTTCTACAGAGGATGAGATTGGTCTTATAGGGGCCGCCGTCGTTGCGGAGAGGCTCTGGATGGCGGCTTACAGCCCCCAGCAAAGTTCAGCAGGTCCCGGGAGTCTCTTTGAAAGGGCAGTAAACCGAGTTGGGGGGCCCCTGGCTGAGGCCTGGTTGTTCCCCGCCAGCTCGCAGTCTCTTCCCCCAGAGGAGCATCTCATTTGGCACGTAGGTTGGGACTGGGAATCAAAATATGCCAATTCTCAATGCCGCATGCAAAAGTGCATGCATGCTTGTAGGGAGGCCCAGCAGCTTCCGTGGGCTGCTTTTGTTGTTGGTCGGCAGAGGGAATGACACAGTTTGCTGTGTCAGAAGCCGAGCAGACTCTGAGAGGATTATTTTGTCCCTCTGCTATACATTACGGTTACGTGTTTCCTCTGAAATGGGGCTTGTATTTCCGTTATCTGTGTGAGATTTTCCAGATCCTGGGTTGTCTCTGCATGCCCCCTCTAGCGTCTTCGAGCGCGCGGTTGTTTTTGGGTTTTGTTTTGAGCCGCCGGTCGCTCAACTCCCGCATTTTCAGCAGTTTCCGGTGGGCCGTCTCATTTTCCTCTGCGCCTATTCGTTGTCTGCCGCCTGGACCCTTCTCCCGTCTAAACCCCCACGAATATCTTTTTGTTGGCGTGTTGTCTCCAACGGGAGCTGCTGCTGTGAAATCTGCGGGCTATACCTGTCTCTGTGTTGCCGACCCGCACAGGCGCCTCGACCCTGCAGCTCTGCGCCACTTCGTCCTCGAGGGCCGCATCCCCTCCGCCTTGGAGCTGCGTTTACACAGCGTGTACAGGGGCGAGGCGTTAGGGGCTCCGAGGAAGTCTCTTGTAGGACCTGCCCCTGTTTCCTCTGTCTTTGCATGGTTCTCCTGTGATCTGTGGCGGCCTCAGTTGGTTGGAGTGCATCGCCCTCAGCTATAGCATGTGTGCGGTGGCCCTCAGGTGTCTCGACCGCTGAGCTGTCCCCGCATCCTGATGGCACGCAATATGCTGAAGGTGCGCGGGCGCTAACTGCAGGAGAGGCCCGCTGAGGGAATGGGTTTCGTGTGCATTGGCCGTTGTGGCCTAAGGGGGCAGGTGGAGAGGGGAGAAAGAGCAACAGCTAAGTAGTGTCGCCTCTCGAAGTCATATGATTGTTTCTTCTGCAGGCCGTCCTCCTCACGCCGTTGCCCTTCTACCGACCTGCTGTGCAACTCGCTGCGCTCCGGGAGCTGCGGCCTTTGGAACTGACAGGCCTCTGGAGGGCCTGGCAGCGCAAAGGCTGGGTTACCGTCTTCAAGCCGCCAGCGGCAGCTGCTGCTGCTGCTGCTGCCACTGTTGGCTCTATTGCACCGCCCTCAAAGGATAAAAAGGCCTTAGGAGCGACTGAACCGGCGGGTAGACAGCAGCATTTGTACAAGAGGCCCGAGATCGCCACAGCACTCGAGGCTAAATGCCGTCGCCCGTTTGTCCTTAGCAGGTAATCCCTTGACTCTCTTTTGTCTGCCGTCGTTGCAGTGTGTGTTTGCCCTTATACTTGAGGTTCAGCTGTTGTTGCCCTTCTGTCTGCGGCATCCTGTGGGTGCGCAGCTCCGCTCGCCTATCGCTTTTTGGTCGGCTGTGGGACTACCGTACTCTCTCGGCTTTGCTGTACTCGGCGAACCAGCTTACAGAACGCAACGTTGGGGGTCTCCCCGAAGGGCTCACAGACGCTGCTGCTCCAGCAGAAGAGTTTGCTGGGGATGAGGAGCCCTCATCCCCAGCAAACTCTTCTGCTGCGCCTGCAGCCCCACAGACTTGGAAGGATTCCGAAGGAAACGATTCTCCGCATGAATTGCTGCTGGCGCAGTTAGCCGCGGAGGAGGCTCAGCCTTCGGAGGAAGCAGGGGCTGTTGACGCAACTACAGTGACCAACGACGGCGACTTGCAGCTGCTTCAACTGCTCGAGAACTCTCGGCTGCAGCCAGCCGCCTCTGGGTGCCTTTCCACCTCGGAACCACCAAAGATGGTTGCTGACAGTTGCCTCTTCTTGCCTGAAGAGGCAAGTGTCAGGAAAGGAAATAGCGCTCCCGCAGCGCCCGAGCTATGCCAGCAGAGGGAGGAAGAGCCTGCCGTTGCAGTTGTTAGGAGAGAGACATTATCTCTGACTTCCGAGGTGGTAGGTTCCGAAGCTCTTGCGGCCCTTGAAGGGTTGGCTCGAGGGCGGCTGTGGTTGTCTCCCTTCTGGGGTAGGGAGGGCCGTCTCCCAGACTCAACGGAGGCCGCTGCTGACGCCGAACTGCTGAAGCTTCTAGAAGACGAAGACGCGCTGGTAAGCTGCTGCCACCACTCCCCACCCCTCAACCCCCCCAACCCCCAGAGTGAGAACTATTCGCTGCTCAAACCCATAAGCACCAACTGGGTGGCCAGGTGGCCGTGCGGTGCAGCCCAGAGGGTTCTTGCACTTTTTGTCTGAAGATTCGGACCACTGTAGTCAGAGGCGCACGTGTATTACAGCCAACACGGGGTGTGCGTGTGGGGAATGAAGCGCCTCGGGGCAACTACGGGGGCAGTGAGGGTGTCTAGGGGGTTGCTTTTCTGCAGCCTGGTTAGGAACCTGCGGCCTCTGGGGTGTATGTAGGATGGCGGTGACGGGGGCGAAGGTTTGTGGAACAACGTGCCTGAGTGGCTGAGTGCTCTCTCTTTGGGTCGGGCGGAAGAAGGGGGGGACCTGTTGGGAGACACGAGGCCACTGAGGAGGCCGACGGAGGGCGGCGTGGAGACACACATCACAGCGCATGCTGCGGGGGTGCCCGAGATCACTGCCATCACTTGCTCTGTCTTGGGCTCATGCCTGCCACTCATCCGGCGGCGGACAAACGTTCTAGAAGTGGAGAGGAGCCTCCCACACAACACAGACCTCGAAGGTGCCCCCTTTAACAGGCCTGCACATGCGGTGGGATCTGCTCCGGAGATTGGGAGCCTTTGTAGGGAGCTGCGGTGGGCGTTTGAGCGCTCCTGCGCCAAACCAGCGGTCGGTGGCGTCCGTTGGCATACGGCAGCAGCATCAATGATGCATGCGACATCTGGAGATGCGGATGCAGGATGCAACAACTCAGCAACACTGGGAAAGACGATGGAAGTGGAGGTACCCCCCGCCAGCCATCTTCCTGACGGCCTCTTCGGTGCTGCAGGGGAGCTGGACGCCTTCGACCCCTCTCTGCTACCGCCAGTTCTGAATGACCGCACTTCGAGTGCAGCCACTTCTTTTACCCTTGCAGAGGAAGCTCAGAGACAAAGAGAGGTGGCGACAGAAATTGGGACAGAAGGAGAGGTGCACGCAGCCCTCAAACCTTCAGCAGCCAGGCCATGGCGCTTCAAACCCGGGCTCCCTAGCGGCTTTCCTGTTTCTCTGCCCACGTATGCAGACGACCACCGACAGAACTGGCGGTTCGCTGCGAGGGCTGTAGAGGCATTCGCCCCTCCCGGATGTCTCTGCAACACAACTTGCGGCTGTCTCCATGAATCCCAGGCTGCCGTAGGCAGCCGCTGCTACACCCCTGCAATATTGCAGGCCCCTGGAGCAACTACACTGTGCTCAGTCGTTCCCCCTATGCTGGGTTTCACCGATAGGCCACTCGTTGAAGACCAGAAAGGGACTACTGGGGAGGCGAACCCAGGAGAGGGGCCCCTCAGAATCCTTAGGCAGTATTTAGAAGGCCCCGCAGAAGCCTTTTTAGAATCACCACCTGCTAAGCTCTGCAACACCGGCACCTGGAAGAGCAGCGGCAACCCCTGCAGCGGCCATCTCCCCTTGCCCCTGCTTCAGGCGCTTCACGAGACGGTGCTTGTTGCTCTTAGCGTTCAGCATGACGCTGTTCTGCCGTTGCTGCCAACGCCACCCCTGCCGGTGGCTGCAGAGCGACTCGGAGAGGTGGCGCAAGAAGAACTAGCAGCCATTCTTCCTGCCTTCTCCCCAGCTGCTAGTGCTGGTGCTGCTGAAGGCAGCGCTCCTCCAGCAGTGGTGCAGGCAGGACAGGAGGCCCGTGCGGACGCCGTCGTATGTGTAGCTCTCGCGTTATGCCCTGCGTGGCTGTTGGGTTGCGTGCTCAAGGCAAAGGCCGAAGGCGTGGCGGTGCCGGCCTTGCTGCTGGAGCTCGCGGGAGAGGAGGAGACTGCAGCAGAAGCAGCAGCAGCATCTCCAGTGGAAGGGCATTCCACACAGACAGGACCAGCCCCTGTGCGCCTTGCAGACAGTGTGCGGGGAGATAACTCAGCAGATAGCCTACGTGCTGCGGCACGCCTCGCCTTCAGGCGAGCGGTAAGCAAGCTGTCTCTTCGGAGTAGCAGTGGAGAGGCATTGCTGCCTCTTCGTCGCAAGGCCGAGTTGGCGGGGGCCAATGTGGGGATGGTCATGACCACTGAGGGTGACCTAGGATGTTGCTGCGATAACTGTTGGGTTGCTGCATGCGGCAGTCAGTTGTTTTTGGTCTGTGTTGCTATCCTGTGCTCCTTGCGTCTAGTGGTGCCCGTTCCCGCTGGAGAGAGCTGGCGATTGGTTGGTGCTGCTGAGGCAGCCCCGCGCTTTTGCCTGAAGGAGCAGCTGGTCGTCCGCGACCCTCTGGCTGCTCGGTGGGCATTTCACAGGGGCACGTTGCCCGTCTGCCTAATCGAACAGAGCGCATCACGTTCCCATCTCGCTGCAGCGGATGCAACAGGCGAAAAGCTCAACGGCGAAGGGGACCCCTCAAGGGAAGGCCTCATGCATCAGAGCGATCTCCGCCCAGCAATGGTGCCTCGAGCCATTTGGGCTGCTTGGGGCCCTTCAGGCGTCCGAAGCCAGCAGGATCCGCAGCAGCAGAAGCAGCATCCATTGGCGCGGGAGGGGCAGCAGGCTTCGCTTGGAACGACTGCACCGGTAAGTGGAGCTGCGTGCGTTTCGGGTCCCTTGACTGGCGTTTCGCCAGCAGAGGTCTCGGAAGAGGAGGGAACAACGGCCTACCAAGCTCAGGCTGAGGTCGTCAGCTCGCTCTTCTGTTCGCTACTGGACTGCACGGCTTCTTCCTTGGGACCCCAGGGGGCAGAGGGAGATCCACTACCTAGGGCAGCTGCAGCACCAAGACCGGTGAGACTGGCCAGTGGCTGGCTGCCAGCTTGTGCATGGATGCGATTAGATGGCCGTCTGCACGCCTCCCTCGTGCAACTGCTCTGCCTCCGACTATGGATGCTGCTGACGCAAAGGCCCGGTAGCACGGCCCAGCAGCTGCAGGGGATGTTATGCCTTCTAGATGACTGCGAGGTGCAGTTCCTCCTCCATGCTCTTGTTGAGGAAGGCGTTGTCACCGCCTCTGTCCTGTGGGGTCACTCTGCAGCTGCGTTTTCCACGAGCTGCGGCAATCCTAGTGAGGGGTCAGAGCGGTCCCCCAGGGCCTATCATGGCACTTGCTTCGCAGATTCCAGCGATCGCTCGCTTCCGACGCAGGAAGCAAGACACATTGGTGGACTCACGGGGTCCGCTGGCTTCAACGGGCGCCCTGGCGGACTGTCTATGGCCAAACATATACTGGACGTGCAGGCCATATACTTGCCAAACGCAGCGGCAGACGTCCTGCCCAAGTTTCAGCCCCTCCTGCTGCCGAAACTTGCGCGTTGCAGCTGTGGCTGCTCTGTGCTGCTTTGAGGTTGTGCCTGACTATTTTTAAGCCAGGTTGTGTGGGGTATTTTTGTCGCATTGCATTTGTATTTGGTACTATTGTGGAGACTGACCCCCCATAAGAGGACTCCTCTATGCGATAACTCAGAACGCAGTTGCCTTTAACCATTGCGCTCTGCTTCCTACTGCAGTTCTTTGCAGCCATAGATAGCCTAGCCTGTGGTAGGAGCCGACGAGCCGCTTTGTGGTTAAGCCCGATGCTGTTCCTCAACACATATTGGCCTGGAACGTATTTTACTAGGCACACTCAAGTCAAGGCACTGTAAAGCTTTCGCTCTAGGCGCGCCTGTGGCCGTTCTACCCATGGCGGTTATACCAGGCGGGTAGAAGCTCCACCGGAGAACGGGCAGGCCAATTCTGCGTGTCTTCAGCCTGATCATCTGACACATAATGCGGTTGTCTTTTCAGGTGCATTGAATCAGTGGCAAAACTTTAGCGATTTGCTGCTCAGAGATTAACTAAAGGGGTGCAGGTCTTGCGATGGTCACCCGTGGGGTCACCCGTGCGCTAACCCGTGCCCAGACCGAGTGGGGGTCGGATGTTCACTGAATTTTCGGCAATTTCAAACAATTCCGAAATAATGCACAGTTTCCAATCTTTCGTTTTTCAGAACTCACGAAAGTGGAAGAATGGTGGGTGAACTGGCAGCTCATCGACCTTGCCGGGCGTGTAGACAGCGGCAGCCGCCGAACTCCACAAAGTGTCTGGTGTGTGTGTGTGTGTGTGTGTGTGTGTGTGTGTGTGTGTGTGTGTGTGTAACCTTCCTTTAATGTCATTTTTTATGTGATCATAGCAAAAGGTACTAGTATCCCATCTAAATACAATTGTACTGTCAAACACTTCGCACCTGTTCCATTCCCAGGTATGAAGGCCACTGGGGCCTTCGTCGTCACGGGGGCCAACAAAGGCATTGGGTTTGAAACAGTGAGGGAGTTGGGCAAAAGGCTGAACCTGAAGGAAGCTGCCATTGTTCTTTGTTCTCGTACATTAGCCGCGGGCGATGTGAGGTTTGCACATCGTTTCAGCAGGAGTGCTGACGCGGGCGGCATTCACTTGAACAGCTAGAATGAAGATAACACCAAGCAATGTCCGACCACAAAGTATAGTCGTTTTAATGTCTTCCGTCTGTCAGCACCTGCTGCTTGTTGAAGGAAGTGAGTTCTGTTTTTCCATTGATTTGCGTCTCTTCCTGCTTGCTGCGCCAGTCAGCAATATCATCCCTGGCTAAGGAGGGTATTATAGCGGACCTGGAACTGCTTGACATTACAGACAGAAGGAGCCGAAGGAACTTCATTTTCTCACTGCAAAACAAGTACAAGCATGTTGCCTGTCTTGTCAATAACGCAGGTCAGCGGGTTTCCACCCTCTTTCCGTAGGACACTTCTTTTCCAATGCATTTAAGCACACCGAAATAGCATTTGCCCCAAAACCGTATTCGATTGCATTTTCCTCTCTGGTTAGGCATCGCTTTCAGACCTGGACTCATAAAACCGCTTGCTGAACAGGCAAAGGCCACTTGCGATGTGAACTACTACGGAACTCGAGATGTACGAGCCCCTTGATTTTCCCGCCCTATTGCACCAGCTAGTTAATTGTTTAACTGGTCGACAAGCCCCCCATCGTATACCTTGCACTTTTGGAGTTTCATACATTACCTCAACCTATCAATGCTCAGCCCCTTCAATACTTAAATATATGATATGTAAACTTTACATGCAGCGTACATCTCGAAACGTACACACTTCATGGCATGCAATTCGCCGTTTTTCCGCAGATCACGATAGGCCTCGCTCCCCTGTTCGGAAATAATGCAAAAGTGATATTTCTCACATCGAATCTCGAGAACGCGGGACCTCCATTCATGAGCAGAAGTAACCGTGACAGGCTGCTGTCCAATACTGTCACTGTCAAGGTGCATTATGTAAACTTCCCTCTTTTTAGTTGTCAAGCATGCGCATGAGCAGCCTCCCACCGGAGTTAAGCATGCTCACTTCCGCCGCGCAACAGGTAATGGTGTTTAATGGTGTTGTCTGCTGCTTTGGGGGTGGTAGGATATCGATTCTGCTGTACGCGAATATCTCCAGGTTGCTCCTACCGATTGGAGACAAAAGGGGTGGCCAAACCAACCATATTTCTTTTCAAAGGCGAGGGATTTGCATTGAAACCAGCTCTCACGTGTTGGCTGACAGAACTAGCTCCTCTTCCCCTTCATAGTGTTCCGCAAACAATTGTGTGTATCTGTTTTTTCTGCAAGGGCAGAAAGCCCCTCTTACTGCGTTTTTGCCTATCATGCTCCTTAGACCGCCGTCATTGGCTTGACGGCTGCATTGGCCCGCCAGGCTGAGAAAGGCACTTTGAATCCAGATGCTGAAGGAATCATTATCACTGCATGCTACCCAGGTAAGCCGGGAAGCCATCCGGACGACGGAGAAATTACAATAACGGTGGACGCATGTGTCTGGGCTCCAGTTGAGGGGACCAGACAGCTTGCAAACTGCTCGAATGGGCTGTTAATTGTGATATCAGATGGCATTCTCAGAGGCATGTATGTTGCGTCCGTGCACTTTCATGTGCAGGGTGGTGTAAGACAGATATGGCAGGGTGGGAAATTCCGCCGCTGTCAGCAGCAGACGGAGGTAAAGTAGTGGCTCAGCTAGTACTAGGCGCGGGCAGAAGGGAACACGGGAAGCTCGTGGTAGAAGGCAGAGAAATAAAGACACCTTCTCAGCTGTAGGCAAACTACTTGCTCGTCGGGAGGCCTTAAACTGGAACGATTTGTTCTGACCTAGAAGCGAATCATATATTCTTCACCCAAAATTCCCTTCGGGTTGATTTCGGGGTTCCTGCGAAGTACATTGAGTTCATTTGCCTCGCTGCAACAAAGCTATACTTGATACCTTCTGTCGAGTTTAGCCCATAGCTACATACCTGGAGGAGACAGCCTCACAATGCTGTTTCAAGTGAATCAGCGCCCGCAGAAGAATGTGCTCCACAGAACAAACGGCTGCTCAAGTCAACATCTATCCAGGGCCAACCAAGCAGCAGTTCCTTCACGAGACCTGAACGTCTGCTAATGCCAATCAACGTAGACGAAGCTCCTACACTTGTTCTGTACCCCTACTGTATGCGTCATGCACTGGTTGTTCTGAACAGCCTTGTTATTCTGTTAAGTGTGGCATCCCCGCAGGTGGCAGTGCAGTAGGTAGCAGATTGCTGGGTCGGTGATGCAGGGACTGCAAACATGCGACTTCCCTTGAGGCAGTCCCAAATCACCAACAATGTGCAACTCGCACCCCACACCATACACAACACCGCCTATTTAGCTTGAAAGCAACACCTTCATAACGCTGTAGGGGTTAGGGCCCCACTATGCCCCCCCTCCTGGCCCTCCCAGGCTCGCAACATGGAGGTTCAGTGTCTACTGGAATGTAGGTACGAGAACAGGGTTCTGTTGAAAAGAAACAATATGCAATGTGCTCCCATGCGCAGTGCTTGCAACCCCATAACCATTAGGGATCTTTGTGCTGTACAGTCTATCATCAACATTTGCATATAATTAGTTCTCCAGGAAAGTTCAGAAAGGCTGGGCATTTGCCCAACAGCAATACAGTCAATTGGGATGGTTAACGTCGGGTCGGCCCTGCAAATGATCTTGCGAATGGCTCTGACGGGCAGTCTACTTCGCGCTATTCAGTGTGTCGATCTAACTGGGTGTACTTGCAGGTGACAACACTCCCGTTTAACCCCGAGTAGTGCACACCAGCGAGGCAAAGCAATAATCGTCATTTTGCCTGTGAAGGGTCGACAAGTCATGTGTGTCGATATCACCTTGAAGGCTCTAGTATCCAGCACGCACAGAATGAGATAAACTGACACATAGAGCAGGTGGACAATATCTAGAGCTTCACTCAAGCAAACGCACACTCTCCTCCTCCACCAGGCGCACTCTCTTACATGTTTTTTTTGTCGATTTACAGGTGCAGTTTATTTAGTACTGGTTATTTTCTGTTTGTTGCATTGCTCTCGACCTGAAGTTGGGTCTTCCTTCAGTTTACTGCAGCTCTATAACTATCTTTTGGGTTTGATTACTAATAAGATAACGTGGACTTGAGCAAATTAGGACAATCAATCTCATCATTGGTGAGCCAGCGTGACTAACCGCCTAAACCAAGGCGCTGGCCGTGGCTTCGTTGCCTCCAACAGCATTAACACACGAGTTTGAGGCAACAGCAAGTCTCATGAAGTTAATGCAAAGTTTCGTAAACGTAGTCCTAAGTATCGCTGCTATCCCTCCTCTCTTGATCGGATTTCCATTTCTGTGTCGCCGATTGCGTTAGTCGGCTGGGCATGTACTAACGGACCGTGCTTCTACGATTTGTGGCATTCCCTTATAGCTGCATATACATAAAAAGTACAATTTTATAATATGTGAATTGAAGGGGTGCTGAAATAACGGAAGACGGAAGAAAGGAGGCATTAAATGTTCGCGGTCGCCAACAGCCACGCTGGCAACATGGCTGTGGTGACGGCAACAGCTCACTGGGGCGCCCATTGTTGCTGAGGCGTATCACTTGAGGTATTCTTTCTTCAAGAACCCAAATGCCCTTTGCCAAGTATGTGCTCTGTTTAACAGGAAGACTATTCAGCTTTCATCTTCTCAAAACTCCGCTGTTGGCAATCGACGACCGCCACGCAACTCCAGGTGAGGCTGCCACAAACTGCTTAAAGAACTTCAATTTGTGTTTCTATGATAGTTTTTGTACTTAGTTTTGACACAGTTACTCTCTGAATAAGTGATAAACTGTTTTCGTCGTCAACACGCAGCAGAGTTATGCAACGCCCTAGCATCGATGCTGCGGCGTTGCAGCCACTGCCGACACCAGCTGCAGGCGGCCTAGACAACCATTTCATGTTCCGTTCGCACTTGAAGTACTCTTTCTTCTTTTGGCAAAATGCGAGCTTACACCCTAAAGCAGTGCCTTAGGGAATACTGAAGTCCGCTTTGTCTTCTGCAGCCTTAGGCAGACCTCCCCCAAACGCTGAATGCTGTTAAACGCGAATGTTCTCCCTACTCTGTGGCAGCTGCATTGCTCTACTCTTCCCAGTATGTTGTTGGCAGAATTCGTGAGCTTGCTCCTTGCATTGTAGCCTGCTGTTTCCCTACCTTCCTTCGAATCTGTTGCAACTGAGTGGGTTTTGTGGGGTGTTTGGGCCTTGATGGCTGTGTGTGTTACGTTCTGCTGCAGAACTACGAACTAACTGTAGCTCATTTTCTTTGGATGAAGAGCCCACAGAAGGCAAAAGACGGCAAGGGAGAAGGCGAACAGAAGGGGTGTCCCTCAGTTGGCACCTGAAACACCATCTCTATACCACAGTGGTCTTTGAAACAAGTTTGATTCTCGAAATTCCTTCAGAGCTTGGCACATGTACATCACTCCTACTGTAGGACCATGGCTGACCGAGGACTTGCTGTGGCTGGAGTGCCCAGTGAACGCCTCTCGCAGTTGGCATCGCCACAGCTGGTGCAGAGGACACGACGGGAGAACGCTTTGGGCGCGGGTCACTCTGCTTTCAAAGATGAAATGAGTGCCATATTGCGCCCATGTCACCCTTGCAGCAGCAACAACAGCAGTAGGAAGAATTCGGCGAGAGGAAAGGTGGCAGCTCCCCAAGGGTACGCGGGCAAGTCGACAGCACAACTCAACAACTCCCTCTTTAGTCATGGCAGCAAAAAGCAGTCCCCCGCTGCAAACAAGTCCGATCAAATGACCTTCCTTTTCTCCTGTGCAAACCCCACCCCCCAAACGCCTTACAGAGGAGGAACGCGATCGTTGAGGCAGTACGTTTCCGCCGATCAGCTTCCTCAAGCTTTCTGCACCAAATTTCAAGTCACAGACCCCTTAAGCGGCCGCACAGAATTCATGACTGCCCGGAGGCCGGGGAAGGCCTCAGCTGAAGTCAATATTGCGAATTTCGACTCCTACATGCTCTCAAAAGAACGACCCTTCTCCTTGCAGAAGGGCAAGGACAACATAGACCACGACATACTGGTGGGCTGTCCACCTACAATACCGTAGCAGTCAAGATAATAATGACCACTCTTGTTGGCATTGTAGGTATAAGGTTGAAGATATTACGTGCTTACAACAGTGTGAACAAGTGCAGAGTTAACTATAATTCGGGCGATGCGAAACATAACTTTTACTACTTCTGAGATGGGAAAGCAGAAGACGTTCAGGCTGTTTGTAGATGTTTCAAGGAATCACAGTCGCCTTGCGACTTAATCCTTGCTTCGTGTTAGATAGCTTCACTTACAGTCGCCTGTCTCCGTTCTGCCGAGGGTGTGTAACAAATATAGACAACTAGGGAAACTGAAATTAGATGCGAATGACAACAACATCCCATATCTGCTGTTGTGGCTGACAGGGTTTAATGCCCAAGACGAACACGGAGTTGAAGTTTTCGGTGGGAACCATTGCTAGGCAGCATCAATTGCCTTCCCTCGAGTGCAGAGAAGTACGTGTGTGCAGCGGTGGATAACAGGGCCTAACAAAAGCATTATCCTGCCTACAGGCCCCTGGGGATAAGTGGATAGCTAAACCAATACAATACAGCATTTGGGCCAAGCTGCAGGAAAGGGTCTTTTTGAATGGCAACAGTTGTGCGTGTTTACTTCGAATGCAGAACTGGATGACTCCCACAGCCACTGCCAACGTCTATAGACCTTTGGGCCTCTCGAAGCGCCACAGTGCCTTCCCTTGGACACCATCCGACACCAACAACATTGCCCACATGTATGGAGGGCAGTCTATGGCATCTCCCCGCACTACGCGGGCTTGCATCAGACCTGCATTCATTTCCTCCTGATAAAAGAGAGTTAGAGGGAGGACCTAGTTTGACGTTGGAGCTTACTAGGGTACTAAATGCGTGCAGATATGCCACTATAATGTGGCTCAAGCCAGGCGGAGACAGTTTTAGTATTTTGATTTAGTAGGTGCTGCTTCCGTGTTTTTTCCGAGCAGTGAAGCACAAAGTGTAGAGGCACTTCTTGCCCCTGGGAAAAGCTTTAAATAATCAGCTCCAAGCAAACAATGCGCGCTACTGGGTACAGTGTGCGTGCACATTTGCCATCGTTTTTATGTCAGAGGTACTCTAGGTCATTCTTCCGCCCACCAGAGTACCGATGGCTCATTCCTTGATCTTTTTAAACATTCAGGCCTTTTTCGCGGTACGTACCAGAGTTTGTCTAGCTCTTGTCAAGGGGAGAAAAAACTCCATATCACTAGGCAACCAGAGCCCTGGGTCTTAAGTTGGAGATAGGAGTCGTATTAAAAGGTGATTGCGAACTACCAAAATGTGGAGCGATTTGTCCAACAGGGCAGGGCCCACCCATGCATTGCTGTTGTTAGGCGGGGGGGGAATGCCACATTTGTGCAGTGAAAGGGATGGAAGGAGGGATGTACGGAACTGCGTACTGTGTTGCATCACATCAACCATCTGAATAGAATTGTGCAGGACTGGCTCCTCTGTTCCTGGTTATGTGTCCTTGCTCAGGCGGAGGACCTAGAGTAGGCCCAGCCACAGCCTGGAATATATATCGCTGCGTATCAAAAAAAAACCTTCGACGATGCACTATAAAATTGAAAGGACAAACATATGCTTTAAATAGACACAATATCGTAACGGCCGCTACTGCTGCAGCAGTAAATTTTTCATTGAACCACGAATCCTTCTCAGGCGTCTGCAAGACAGTGTTACCCCCACTAGATGAAAAGTTCCGTACATAGGTCCCTCACCCAAGTTTTATTTTGAGACAATAGGCCTTTTCAGGTACCTGACCCCTAACACTTCACAAACATGTCATATTTCACCGCTGTAACCCAGCAGTACCTCATCACATTTTCCGGTGGTCTGACCACCCGACCAGGTACGGCCCAAGCAGATGTTATTTCAGCCCTGTGTTTCGTACAACAGCAATGTGTCAATTTAGGCTCTATCAATTTAGTTTGGCTTCAATACTGTGAGAAAGAGGGGACGGGAGATTTAATGTAATCGTGCGCTTCCTTAGGTACTGGGGTCGCCATCGTTGCATTGGTGGCCTGGGGGTCACTTCACCCGTTGTGCGGTCAAACCAGTAGGGAGTTTCTACTTGAAATAACTCCCTGCAACTCTTATTATCTCATTTGACGTTATCGTCTGTTCTTTTGTTGTCATTGCTCACGATGAATGACGGGCAGCAAGATGGTTTCGCAGCACAAGCCTTTCCTTTACACCTAACGAACACCCGCAACAAGCAGCCTTCCCAGAAACACTCCTGTCCTACTCTGAAGTGCCTCTATCGGAACCCACTCGCTTTCGTAGGTGGAGGAGGCGGGATCCACCGGCCCTCGTGCGCTAGGCGACTGCTTACAGCAACTCTCATGGGCGCACTGTGGGCGACCTCGCACCCAGCAGACGGACAGCCAACAGAGTCCGACTATAACAGCCAGCCTTCTGATGTCCCCATGGCCTTCTCAGAGGGAGTGCAGGCCCCATCAGAATTCGCACAGGATCTTTCTACTTCGGACACACCAAACAACGACTTCCAGCCCTCTCCCACCGTTAGCAGCGCTGCGCTGCCAGAGATAGACCAACAAAGTGGTGGCGAGTTGTTTCAGATGCCAGTGTCTCTAATTGAGGTTGCAAGTCTGCAAAGAGACTCTGAAGGACCAACTGCACCTGCAGATCCAGGGAATGCCCGAGGTCTGGATGCGATTGTCCCTTTTCTGTTGCCTCTGCACCCGTATGCCCCAATTTTTGCTAGTCCAGATGGTTCCATAGGCATGTCTGCTACTTCCGAAGATATCGGCAGGTTTTCTGCTGCTACCGATACAGCTGCAACAGCGCCTCCTCCTCGTTTTGCTTTCTACGGGCCACAGAGCGATGACCTAAGGGTGGATGACTGTCAACGCTTCGACGCCTTTCTAGTGTCCCCCTTGCCATCTTCTGTGGCTTCAAAGTTCAGCGACTTTGTGCAAAAAGAAGCTTCACAGACAGACGGCATGCCTTACTTGCACCATATGCATGGACGCCCCGCAGAAGACCCGGCAGATGGCGAAGAGAACCCTCGGCTAGTCGTGGAGGGAGGCAAAGTGACTCATCTTTGGTCCGAGTTCACAGAAGGTCAGGCATGTGTGCACATCTCCTTACTCCGTCGAAATGCTTGGTGACGCTGGAGGCCAAATACCCCTCCTACTGCTGTTTACACTGAGGACAGCATCATTTTTCTGCTTCGGAATCCACGATGTTGCATTCAGATAACCCCATCTTCCGCATGGATGAGGGAACAGTCACTCTGATTCGTCTGGTGGCTCCTGTGAAAAGCGCATACGATGCCATGGCCTCCATGATGCTGATGCCCATCATCGACGTGAATCTTGCCTATGGAGATGGTAGGCAATGGCTGCATGCACAACCGCAGAGACGTTGCCTGTTCTGTGGCTGGTTTTCGAAGAGGCAGTATAGGGTTCACAATTCAGGGTTGCGAGTGAATTGTTTAGGCTACATCTGTTGAGGCATCGTGCAGGCCTCCTCCTTTCCTACAAAGTCAGCGGCGAGGAGGGAAGGCAGGCAGACCACCAACACCAGGATGAGACCCACCGCCCAGTGGCCGAACTTCACATTGCCTACAAGAGTTGCTTTGCTGTGGAAGGGGATAGCAACGACCCCATATCTGTGCGGGCTGAACTTCGCCTCAGCGGATGCGAACCCGTCGTCCTCATGTGGAAGGTCGTCTGCTCCGCAGGAGCGCTCCTGCAGGGCACGTTCCGGTGCACGTGTTTCATTTGTGCATGCTCTGCATGCAGTCACGACCAGTGTACCGCTCTTAACTGCTTGCTTCGCGCTGTGTAGCGGCGTAGCCTTGGCATAAGAAGCAAGAGTCGGGGCGTACTTCAGAGTTCGGGTATGTGCTTAGAATGCATGTTCTGCTTGCAGAGGGATCAGGGGGAGTCTCTGTGCTTGCATGTGCTCAGAGGCGCCTTCGGGATTTAACATTGCAATCGGCCCTTTGACACCTCCCCCAACTAAAAGCAGTGCATCTGTGTTGAGGCGCAGTGCCGCTGACCTGCCGTGGGATCCGAGCCTTGCGCCTTCTCCGACTGTAGCAGATCTGCGAGCAGTAACAGCGAAAGAAGGCGACCTTGTGGCCAATGGCGTAGTGGGCGACCGAGTAGCAGCTGTGCAGCCAACTACTCTGGTGTTTGACCCTTCAGTAGGACCGATCACCTGTAAAGCAATTGCTTGTCCTTCCAAATCGTTCAGTGCATCCGTCATGTTTCCCACTGTGTTCAGCGGTTCAGGCGCGCTGCTGTATTTGATAAGGCCGCCGCAGTCGAATCCGTTTGTAGGGTAATCGCGCTGCCTCTGGCGGCCACTGCAGCGCTTGCTTTGTCTTCTGTCTTGTCTGCAGCAAGACTTTGTTGAGATGTACGCATGGTGCCGTGGATGTAAGGACGGCAGGCTGGAGATGCAAATTCCAACGACATGTAAGGATTGTCCACAGTCTGCCCAAACGAAGAGAAAGGCGGCCCAACTGTACTACTACCGTGGTGTTGAGATTCCCATCTCAATGCAGGGGCTGATATGAATTATTCTGCAGCGTCTGTGGAAGCCCCTGCATTAGATGCTCAATTCGAGAGAGCGCACCATTCATTAATGATGCAAATAAAAGTGTTGCACAACCTCTAGAAATTGCTGCTTTTGCTGGAGAATAACTGCAGTGCGAATGTTAGAATGGGGTAGCACTCAAGATAATCGTTCATCATCGGTGTGCTGAATTCTGTTTCATACTTTTGTCTCATCTCCAGCCGCCGACTTGCAAGTGATGTACCCTCTATTGTACAATTACGTTGGGGATAGCAGAAGAGAAGGTACAGCGACGGAACAGCCCGTCAGCCTTGTTGCATCTAAGCCATCTTCTCACGTGATCCTTAAGGAGATGCTACCTGGGTTAGAGGAAAACGTGCACAGGTTCATTTTGCAATTTCAATGCAAATCAGAGGGTACGCATTACTGGGCTAGCATGGAGGCAGCTAACTCCTTCCAGATGTTTACTTCCCTTCTTAATCCAAAGCCAATCAGCATCTGAGTTGCAGTAGCCTGCTATATTGCCGCCAGTTCAGCAACCCCTCACGGGATTCCCTCCTCGCTGCCTCTGAGTCCTCTCTACTTGCTACCCAGGCGACTACGGATAAAATATCTGTATAGATGTTTTAATCGTGACGCGTACTTGCTGATGGTTTGCCACAGGGGAGTCGATTGTAGGCATCGATTTCTCTTTCCACGGTTACAGGGTGAGCTAACCCCTACTCCCTAAATCTCAAGGCTCATAACAAGGGAGTACATCAGGCACAAAGTTATAGTTCCCTCCTTTATTTGCCCTTGGCTCTCAAAAGCTCCCTCGTCGCCCTGAAAATTGTCCAGTTGCTTAAAGGGAATACACAAGGCACCAATTTCTACTTCCCACGTCGTTTGACTGTCGAACACCCCCTCGTCGCCCTAAAAACTCTATACTTGCCTCGAGATGCTCCGAAGTTGTTACAAAATGTTAGACGCAAAATCTTCAAGGCTGCAGTGCAGAAGCTACTGAAGTGCTAGTGGGCACTGGCGGATTTTTCTCGTTCCTCCAATACGATAAGAGGATAGACCGTTTTTGCCTACAGAGCTTTGCATTGCCTGAATTTCCACTGCTTTCCTCGCTTTGCCCTGCTGCATGCACCAGCCAGTTGGGGCTTGGGTTCTTTTCCTCTTGCAGGACGTGCAAATTTTTGTGAAGAAGCAATGCGTTGCACCAGGTAAGCAATACGCAGTCGTAGAGGAAATCGGTCTACATGAGCATGTCATTAACCTGTTTCTGATGGGAAATCTTCACTCGTACAACGGATACATTGCAGCAGATAGGGAAGATCTGTAGCATCTAACTTGCAAACGTGTTGTGTGAAGCATTTTGTTCTGGCGGTGCATCCATGTGCTTATCTAGGTGGTCGAATGTGCGTATACTGCTGTGCCCGGTACTGCTCTATCCTATGATATAGCTGTGGGAACGCATCCGTCTCAGCTTATGAGTCATTGCATCAGCTATCTTCTCTTGAGTCTGGTGCTTGCAGCCTCAGCAAGCCTTCGGGACCCGTCTTGCAGCTCAGGAGTCCTCAGCGACGATGGGGCGGTGTGTTGCCTAGCGTCCTGCGGAGCGTGTGGTGGAGACGGATGTGAAGACAGAGAAGGTGGGGTGCCTTGTGTTGCATCTGCATCCTTTGGTTTTGCTCTTTGTGACAATCCAAAGACTCGGACGGACTCTGTAATCATGTTGAAAAAATGTGGTACCTTGCCCTCTCACAGCACGGACGCAGCGCCAATGTTGCCAGTAATGCGGTTCCTCTGACCACAAAGGCCACGCTGTACTGCACAGCTGCTTTGCACTTGTTGGTCTACAGGAGGCCTCACTGGCTGCTGCGTCCAGAACATCGTCTCCTCGGCGCTCCCGTGCTCTGTCATCACGGCCCCTTGCGTCATAGGTTGTAAGTCACTGAATCCCGAACCTAGCGAATCCATCGATGGCGCATGGCATTTAACACAAGTCGCTGGCTACAAACGGAATTTCCGAAAATTATAAATTATGCCTCAATACGCTATCAGGGAATGGTGAAGACTTCCAGCGCATAATTGGTACAATACTTACAGCATATAAAACATATCTCATGTCATATGGATATGCAGAGCCACCGTATGTGCTTTAGACTTTTTTTAGATGATTTGTACAAAGGGGCGTACCAATGTTTAATGCAGACCAACAGAACAGAGCTACTAAGGAGCTCCGAATGGCTTTGGCGTTACCGGAGGAAGCCTCTGCTCAAACTCAGCGCTTTAACTTGCTGCTGGCTCCCCTGTGGTTTATCTGCGTCTGTCTGGCCTTTTTAAAGCTACTTTTATGGTGGTCAGTGCTGGAGAAGCAGCTGCATTCTCTGCCACACTTTAAACCGGCTTCTGAGGCTAACAGAGCCACGCTCAAACGCTTTCTTTCTGGGCTTGCAGAGCTTATTGTGTTTGCGCGTGTCTTCCATTATTGTGTTTGCGCGTGTCTTCCCTTTGCTGTTCCAGTTTGTCTGTTTTAGCTCTTGTCGTGTACGTGTTTACTGTCGGCTACGGAGTCTACATCCTGGAGGAACCCTTTCCTGTAGCAGCAGCGCCTTCTGCATATCAATTGTTCAACACCATCTTGCTTATTGTGAGCTAACACCGCAGTGTTGAATGTTGGTTTGCCTTACAACACAACAGATGTGCAGATGTTTAAAATGTGCCAGTTGAACCACACTTGCATCCAAATATCTTGTAGCCTTCCTTCCACTGTTATTGGTGATGAGGTGAAAATCTGTGCTAGAATGAGTGGTGTCATGGGTTCAAGCAAGGCTAGCAGTTGAAGGTTTGCCTTTTTTGTATCTTGCATGTTTGCATTAGGTTGGCCATGTGAGGCATCTGTACAAGACTCACGGCAGTTCGCTGTTTGCGGGTGAAGGATTTCACTCCTACACTCCGTTTGAGGATGGGGGAGGAAAGCCACCTGGCCGCAAGCTGAGCAGCGCAGAGAATCCGTTTCGTCCTCCTGTGCGTTGGCGTGCTAGCGAGGACCACAACTCCTGCATAAGGCTTACTTCTTTAAAGGCAAAAGCTGCAGGAGAAACGAACCCAGACCATCTGCCTCCCGAGAGCATTCGGCCTCTAGAGTTCTGTGATATTGAAGCAGACACTTCGAACCTACGAGCCAGAAGCAGCTCCATAGACGACACCTTGTGGGAGGGCCCCCAAGGCGATTTTCAAGCGGACACGTGGGCCGACGACACCACTGCGATCCTCAACTCCCAAAACGAAGAAGAGTATTCAAACTTGCAAGGCAGTCAGCACTACAGGGAGTTCTCTGGTAGCGCATATGATCCCTTCTGAGAAACTAGGCTGCCTCTCTTGCTGCGTGCCCTGGACAACTGCGTGCAGCTGTCCATATACCCCAGCAACCTGACAAACGGTCCAGCACAATAGCTAAGTGCCTGTAACATACCAAACCAGGTCGCCCCTCCGTTGGTGGCCGATTCTCTCTAGACGGCGGGTTTTCTCCTCCTAATGCCAGCGATCGAAAATTTCCCTTCAGTAACGCACCTGTTTCTTGCTGAGTCTATCATTTACGCTCCTTTTATATTTGCCTCTAGGCTTCCCTTGTGCCGTGCAAATCGTTTTCATTCTTGGAGCACACACCCTGCTCTACGTGCTTACCAGTGTTTCATTCAAGCTGTGCTCCGCAAAGTCGCCGGGAATTCAGTCTTGGTGGCGGCGCAGTGCAGTATTGTTTTCTACCATTTTTGCGCCTACTGCTTTGTGTATTGTTAGAGACTCCCGCTCTTTGTAAAGTCATTCTGGCCTACATCGGGCACCCTCCACGGACTGTTTTATCGCACTTTCGATTTAATGCTCAAGAGAGCAGAAGCAACAGAAGCAGCAGCAACGACAGCCACAATGCTCTGTTCATATGACAAGCAAGGGTCCACACTGGCAGCGTAGCTTCTGACTCAGAAATTGTGCAGCAGCTAAAATTAGGATTCTCCCCCCCAGCCCCCGCTCAAGTAGACCGAACATCTGTCAGCTGTTAACAAGGAGAGAGGGTGATGCAAGATAAAATCTATCAAAAGGGCAGCAGCTAGGTGCGGCTTCCGTGCGTGTTGCTGCACTTTCCCAGAGGCCCAAATGCCTTGCGAGCGATTCGCCAAAATGTCACAGGTGAAGCGTCATGCCACAACAAGCTCTCTTGGGCCGCCTTATTCTGGCCGTCCAGTTTGCTTATCCCCCTGCATTCTTCAGTTTTTCGTGTTGATAAGGGTCGGGGCGCAGATACAGTGTATAGTAAAACGAAACCCGCCTCCGCCAAGCCTGAGTCTCGCAGCACCAGTTGCCACTGCCGGGAAGCCATTGCATGTAGTGGAGCTGCTATTACTGAATATCATGCGACTCTTTCATGACAGGTGGAAACGATTCTCGGACATGCAGCTCTGTTTCGTGTCCGGTGGGTCGTAAGGTCACCTGGAATTTGTTTTCTCAGTAGGTTGTGAAGCGGGTGTTGCAACCCGCCAGTCTTAGCTATTTTCGAAAGGAAAATTAAAAGGGCGTAAATTCTGTGTCTTAGCTCCGTGGCAGAACTGATGAGTATTTACGTGACTACAGAACTCAGCTCCCTAGCATGTGGGCTAAGGATGTGCAGGTCGGCTGCGCCAAAGCGCGTCTGGGGGATCCTAATTTCAAGAGAAAATTATTATTAGTTTTACGTATGAATTCTACGTGAATTTATTTTGAAAATTCAAGGAGAAGGCGACGGGGACAAAGAGGTCCACAGACATGCGGGGCTGGCCGGTGGACGAGCGTTTTGCAATCGTCGCCAAATTATTGCCTGGGAAAGTTGCAAGAATTTTCCCGAAAATTCAAATATGAAGCTGTTCAATGGGTATATGCCTATACACATTGCCTTTCCAAGCGAACCACTGGGCGTCGGCTGCGCCTTCTTGGCCGCGTACTGCATACATCTCACCGAAGCCTCATCATTCGAAATACTTCGACAATTCATCACAATCCAACGATGCCTCTGTCCTTCCGCTTGATCCCCGCATGAAATCTCGTTGTCCCCCCCCCCCCCCCCCCCC